TTTTTTTTTTTTTTTTTTGTCACGGTGGTGGAAACAACGCCGGTATGTTGTCGCCATGCAAATTGGTGACGCCAGACGCGCGACAATGTCAGACTTTGAGCTTTAGATTAATCAATCGGTCTGACGACTCAATGTAAGGAGAATTTATAGACGATCGTGGATGGTTTTGAATAATTTAGAATAGCGGTTAAATGTTTTTAATACCTATATCTTCTATCATAACATTCATCGTATCAAAGTTTTTAGTCACGTCGATTGAATGACTTCGTCTGCAACCCCTCCCCTCGCTCTTTCCCTTCGCGGAGATCGAAGATTTCGTATCTGCTTTCCCCGCGGACAGATAAAATCGAAGGGATGCTCGCCGCGAGCGGAAGTTCAAGAGTCGAAAGAGCAATTTTCGCTCAGACGCGCGCGTCGCGATGCGCAAACACGCGCGAGACAAACAGGACGCAGGATTAAATCCGTATTTGCGAGCAAACAGGAAACGGACGTGCTTTCGAAATTGAACACGCGGCTCGCGCGCGACTATCGATCGCGGCGGCGTTCCGTCGCGGAACACGGCGCGATCTCGCGCCACGAACCACCTGAGGAAACCGAGCCACGGATTAATCCGGCGGTTAATTTCGTTGCGCGCCTCGGGACGACGATTTCGCCGTGAGAACGCGGCTTAATTTCACCGTCGAGATTCCTGGGACGAACAGCACGGGACGAAAACCGCGCGCTAGCACGCGAACGCGATTCCTAAGGAAATCACGGAGGAAATTACGCGGAGGAAATTCTGGCAACGAGATTACTCTCTTTAGGAGTTCGTCTAAACTTGTGTATCAATTGGAAAAAAAGACTTTCGTTAATGAGAGAGTTTAGATCTAATTGCTAGAGAAATACAATAGTGTAATTTAACGATCGTCTGATATATATTCCCGCTTTCCTTTTTCAAGTGAAAACGAGAATACTCTATTAAAGGATTATTTTTTCGCTTTTAAATTTCTTTCGATGATATGTTTTACTGGTCGTAAAAAAATACGAGATGCTCGCGACGCATACGTTTACGGCAAACTAGGTGCAAATGTGTTAATCGAATGCACGTGCATCTGATTGATAGTTTGTGCAACTACATACTTTAACTATACTCTGTTAGCGAGACTGTCACTGTCACTGTCACTGTCACTTACAGAAACGTTTTCGAACGAGCTCACTAACGTAGAGTCGAATGCAGAATTCAATCTGGAATTCACTACAGCGTACTTGATCGAATTTCACAGCTATTTTTGCTACAAATCGCTCGTATGATTTCGATTTCGTCTCACTCGATGAATCTTCCACACCCATTAATTCGTACTACGCTGCGAATTATAAGCTCAGTCCGCATAACGCGACCACGGTTTTCATCTAATCGGTTCATACTCCCCATTCACGAGCGTATCAAAAGCATCTCTGATAACGGTACGGGATGGGGTGGAAGGTAGTCTAGACAGTGTAACACAGGGAACAAGAACGTAAGCAACGGATCGGTAGTACGTTCTTGCTCATACCATTTCCCTTCACGAGCGATATAAAAGCAGCTATTTTTCCGCGTATCCGCGGCACACCGGATAATATGCCACCCGAATAGCAACCCTCGCGGATCAAGCAAAAATCTTTCTCCTGACCGGTGTAACGCTGCTCCGCTCGAGTGCGGCGTGCATAGAGAGACGCGGCCTCGTGAAAGCGCCCTTGCATTTATACACGCGGCCTAATATCGCTGAGTGGCCTGCTCCCTCGCTGCTCCCTTCCTCTGTCTCGTCGAGCTCTCTCCTCTGCCTCGTATTCCCGAGCGAATATTAAAAAAAGCCGACCGCCGCTGCTACGCGCCGCGGCGCGTCCTCGCAGACCTGAAGAAGCACTTCCTGTCACCGCCGTACTCGTTGTCCGTGGAGGCCAGCCGAAACGCGGAACTCCGTTGCACACCGCCGCTCGGAGTGCCGCAACCGAAGGTCTACTGGCTGAAGAATGGCTCGCCTCTCGAGACTGTCGCTAGCTCGACCCCGGCCTCCTCCGTGGCGGACGGCATCCCCAACGACGTGACAGTGGCCAACAACTTCGTTCAAACCGGAGATGGACACCTGATCTTGGGCAGGGCCGAGCTCAGGCATCAGGGGAATTATTCGTGCGTGGCTGAGAACATCGCTGCCAGGCGGGTCAGTGAACCGGCCGTGCTGACGGTTTACGGTGAGATCTCTTTGCACGTTCCGTGAGAGCGGTTGAATATTCCATCGGAATCGCAAATGCGAGCGAACGCAATTAGAAATGAAGATCGCGTATCGAGAGATAATTGAGCGTGACGCGTGTTCTCTCTCTCTCTCTCTCTCTCTCTTTCTTGGAAGAGAGGGGATAGTAGAATCGAGACAGTATCCGGACGGACAATGGGAGAATCCGTGACGCGTTGCGTGAGAGACCGTAGTCTGTGATTTTGGCGGAGAATCGACGGTAATTGTCGTTCCTGATTGTTTGCCCCGGTGACATTCTTAATCGGATATTCTATCTGAAATCTTAGCAACAAGATCAGACTTGACTGAATGGTTGCATGATTTTTTGCCTCTTTCGTTTGCCTCCCAAAGTCAGACGTAGTAGTCGTTCGTTTCTTTCTTTTCTTCTTCTTCTTTTGGAATTTTAATTAAATGTAAGAAAACGTACGTGAAACGCGACGTTCCGCTCATTCTGGAAACTGGTTCGTAGTGAACGGCGGGTGGTCTTCCTGGTCCGGATGGTCAGACTGCAGCACCCGTTGTGGCCGTGGTGTGCAAAAGCGGACGCGAACTTGCACGAATCCCGCGCCCATGAATGGGGGTCAAGCCTGTCCGGGTCCAGCGACGCAGAGGGTCGAGTGCAATCCCTCCTGCCCCGGTAAGACCGACAGAGCCAGCCAATTACAAAACAATTACAACGATATTCTTGACATATACCCAGGTACGTGACTGTGTACGTAGCCAGCTATTCCTCTCAAAACAGTCCTGTTTCCCTGTCCCATCGACGAAACGATCAAACGACGAGACGAGGCCTCGTCGTCAAACACCACAGCCACATTTCGAGATGTAATCCCGTTCGGTCCCCGTTGGCTTCGCTCACCGTCTCACATCTGATAACCGAGATTTAATCGGGATTTTCAAGTTCACCCGTTGCTTTCAGCGGTCGACGGCAGATGGTCAAGCTGGTCCTCTTGGTCCGCATGCGGTCTCGATTGTTCCAGAGTAAGAAGGAGATCCTGCAACGACCCCCCGGCGAGCAATGGTGGTCGCCCCTGTCAAGGCAAGGACGTCATCGTCGAGTCTTGTTCCATGGATCGATGTAATGGTAAGCTCCAGCTGCGTTCTTGCCTCTTTTTTTTTCGTTCCTTTTCTTCTTCTTCTTCTTTTCTTTCTCCTTTTTTCCCCATTGTCTCTTTTTATTTGGTATTCGCTGTGACCGGGACAGCAGCGGACAATTTATTACGAGCGAACGGGCCTCCCTTGTCCGGCGTCGCGTCCGATGATCGTCGTTGCCGCAGAGATACCATTTAAATTAATAATGACTCGCAGAAAGGCCTCGGTCCTCCATTTACCGTGATCGAGCCGGACCTCTTTCGTTGCACGCAAGCATTACCATTGTTCCGGCGACAGACGTGATATCGTTCGGAGAGATTAAATTTTCAGCGGACGAATATATCGTTCAGATTGAACGCGACGATATTGTGATAAAGTTATCGATGGAAATAATCGAGAGAACTTTCATCAGAAGTTATTGTCCAAAGCGAAGTAAAAGACCGCGTCAATCGAATCGTCGATAACGCTATGTCAACTAAAATTGCAACAGCTAGCTACTCGGTTTTTCCTCGGATTACTCTCGTCTCTTTTCTCGTAGTAGTAAGCCACTTTTTTTCGTGCTGTCGCATGCAGCCCTGGGACAGGACGGTCCGCGAGTCTTCAAGGAAGGTAAATGCCACTGCGCAGAACAGTTCCTCCTGTAGAAAATCAGTTTGAAAGCCATCGTCGTTTCCCGCAGCAACCAGGGCGATCGATCACAGAAACATACTGGCGCTGTGGATCACTCTCAGCTTAGCGGCGATCATTCTGGCGTTGACTACCATCTTCTTCGTCCGACTGATGCGCCGGAAAGAACGTATGGAGGCTCTGTACGGGGTAGCCAGGTTAGATTTCCGTCGTCCGGGAGAGTTGGCGAAATCGGTGGTCTCGAAGAACGATCGTTCGGTGCTCTCGGTGGACAGACGATTGGAACAGGTGATAGACGAATCGAACGCCTGCAGGATGCCTAGGTAAACGACTCTCGAGGAATTAAACCTGGCCGTTTATCGATGCGTGTTCCTTTTTTGAAAACACCTCTCTTTCTCTCTAATGACGGTACGCAGATCTTGCTCGGAGCATCATTACGACGTACCGCAGCTTTCGCTGCCTTCGACTACGAGGCCGTCGCCCAGTTCCTCCGTCGCCAGGTCCTCGTGCAGGAACTCGCAGCGTGGCAGAGGCTTATCGGATAACGAAGAGGGCCGATCATCTCGTAAGGAACGAGTGTACCATCAACTCGAACACGACGATCGAGAAACAGATAGTAACAGCGGGCCTGGTAACATCTGGTCTTTAGGTTCCACCTGCCAGGCGAACCAGGAGAGCACCAACGAGGACGACGACGAGCACGAGGACGAGGAGAGAATCGGAGAGGAGGAGAGGAGCCACGACGATTCTGGCGGATTCATCGTGAGGGCAATGGTCGATGAACAGGGTGCGCTTCTCGTGGTACCGGAGGTTGGAGTCTCCATGTCTGTACCGGAAGGGGCCATTTCCCGTGGAAGAAGACACGGTCTACACTTGGCAGTCCTCGGTGACGACACTCTGAGACCTGGTCTACCGCCTGGTCTCACTCTACTGTCAGCCGTGGTGGCTTGTGGTCCGAGCGGGATTGACCTGGTGAAGCCTGTGATCCTCCAATTCGAACACTGTGCCGAACTGAGGACTGGAAACTGGGAACTGAGCCTCTGGTCTACGGATCTCGACTTGGATACCAAGTCGAACAAGTCGAGCAATTCGTCCACTAGCTCCAGCCTCGCTTCTGGATCCACCTGGAGGAAGATTCTGACGCTGGGAGGCGAGCCTATCAATCTTCCTGGTCAACCGTTCGCGCAGTTGGATCACTCCGGGGTTTTCCTGGTCACCGAGACTCCTAGCGTTTATGCTGTCGCCGGGGAGAATTCTGTGGTCGCGCCAGGACTGGCAGTGAAGAGGATTTGCATCGTCGCGTTTTTGTCCCGCGAGAGGGATCACATCAGATGCCATTTGATGGAAGACACGAGAGCTGCCTTCAAACTCATTGTGGAGCAGGTTAAATTTGCTAATATTGTTCTCCGTTTTTACTTTTTACGTTTTAGTCCAATTCGTAATCTTGTCAAGCTTTTACATTTTAAGCCTAGAAAGGCTAAAAAAAGGCTCTGTTTGGTTGAACTACTTGGCTTGAAAATTTCGTTTGAAACTCGTGAAATTCGTACAGGAACGCCGTTTAGGCGGTTCGCGAATCGACCACGGAACCTTAGGCTTCAGAGCGGGCGGTTCTCCGCTTCGAATCGACTTGGAGGACAGAGAAAGCGGGTTCGTCGAACGTCAGGAGGTTCCGCATCGTCGAATCTGGTCGTCGACGAGGACCAGCGTGAGAAGATCCTTCAGGATCGAGAAGACCGTCGGCGACCTGAGGCTCAGCTTCGAGCTACGGGCCTGTCAGTGCGGTTTCGAAGAGCACGCGCTCTTCCTAAGAATCGACCTGGATCTGATGAAGAGAAACACTTCCAGTGGGAAGAAGACCACCAAGTCCGAGTCGTCTATCGTTTTACGTGGGAAAAATTCGAACAGGTCGACCGAATCGGTCGTTCCCAGACCATTCAGGTATCGCTCGACCTTTTCACTTCATTTCTTTGTTGATAAACAGTTCAATAATTCTGGGTAATTTTGTTCGTTGAAGATTTTCCAAAACATTGAGAAAACAGTTGTGTCAGTGTCTCGATCCGCCAAGCGTGCGAGGAAACGATTGGAGAATGCTAGCGCAGAGACTTCAAGTAGATCGGTGAGAGTCTGTTCAATTTTCTTCGAAACATGGACGAGCTAAAATCTGATCGCTGACTTTACACAGATACGTTGATTACTTCGCAACGAAGGCCAGCCCGACCGAGCACATTTTGGATCTGTGGGAGGCGAAACACCAGGAAGCTACGGCTCTCGCGGATCTTTTGAATCACTTGAGACTGATGGGACGCGTGGACGCAGCCAATGTTCTCGAAAGCCGCCTAGGTCCGTGGATCTGAGGATCCAACCATCACTGCCCGTTAAGCGATCCATCGTTCACGATTTTATAATGTTTTGTACATATAAGAGAATATCGAAGTCTATATTACGGATGATAAGAAGAATCGATGTAGAACCACGTTGCATAGAGGCAACGACCGTGTTTGTACATAAAGCTCGTTTATAGCAAATGTTGATTCTTACTACATTACAATCCCAGAACTACCCTAAAAGACATCGTCAGATTATAACATACACTCGTCCTGTCTTCGTCTTCGTTCGCAAACAAACAAGAGACGAGACGGAATTTTCTGGCGGAAGAACACACGAATGTGCACAATTTTCACAAGCTGACACTTAACTTATTCTTTCGTCCCTTCGACGTCTTCAGTCGTTACGTCATTCACAAACGTCAAATCACTAACGCAATCGAACGGAAAAGCGCAGAAGCCTAATTCATTCGTCTTGGGTCTACCGGAGATCCGCGAGATCTCGATCGTGCAACAACGCAACAATGCGATGGTAATCTCGCGTACGGAGGATCGGAAGTAGCGAACGAGGCTTCGCCGGGCCAATTTGCACCTGAATGCCGGAGGCGGCGTTGCCCGAAGCGACGGTGAGGCTGGTGCCAGCCAGCAGAATGCGATCGCGAGTGCACTTAACCGGCTATTTGGCTGCCATTCGAACGCATCGTATCGCGGGGCGGGCATTTCAGCCGAGGGTTTCTCCTAGGTATCGCGTCCAAGAGCAAGGATGCGTGGGATGCTCGAAACAATGGGCATTATCCAGCTAAACACGGGAGTGAGGGTCCTGCGATTCTGGCAGGCTTCGAGGAGCTATAGGTATGCCTGGATGCCAGCCCTCATATATAGGTATGCATGTATCCCTTTACCTCCACCCTTCCCTTCAACCCTCTTGCAAGGATCGTGCACATGCAGTGTGGCGGAGGAGGACGTTTAATCACAGGCAGGCTGCTGCTGGTGGTAATTCCGGCGGACAATGGCTGTTGACCTGCGTCGTTGGATGTATTGGCGAACTAGCCTTTCACGGTGATACCGTGAATACGGATTTGTCGCTGGTTCGATGTTGGCCAGGTGGCTGTCTTCTTTACGTTCGCGCGGAAGTATTTATTCGAAGCGGTGATGATGGATCGTGAAAGCTGAACGGTGTCTCACGTCCCTGCCGATTATTGGCTGTCGAGCGCGTTGATGGAACAGGACAGAGTGCTTCGTGTTGTTACCGTTTCGTCTTCGTTGTGTATTTTAACGGACTTGATATTTCTACGCGAACAAACTGAAGAAGTAAAATTTAAATAGCGGTTGGTTTCCTTTCTCACTTTCTCAGTTGACGTCAGAAAGTAGAAAGGCACGTTCTTCGTCGTCAAAGTTAAGTTAATTAATTTCATTCGAAACTGGAGATGAACCTCTATCACCCGGGATGAAAGGAATTAGACACACCGCGCCGTATCGTCTAATTCGAAATTGAGCCGTGATGCGGGGCGCAGGCGTCATTAATCTCCGATATGAACCCATCGGGTAAAATCGAGAAGGCGAGCGAACACGCCTCGATAACGTCGTCGTAACGACGCGGTTATTGCCGCGGCCGGCCATCGTATATGCATAATCCGCGTCAGAGTCGCATAAATTCCACATCCAGAACCGTATTAATTTCCCGGACTAATCGCGATTGGGATCTACAGGCAATTACGAGAAGGATAGGGCCAATCAGATTGGTGGCGGCGGCCGCTTCGCTCGCTTCCGTTAACGCGGAAGGTCCGGTCACGCACACGCAACCCCTGAACGCAACGGGGTGGATCGAACAACAACATCGTACGACGCGTGCAAAACAGCACGGCGCAACACCATGAAGGGTGGCCTGGCTGCCTCTGCCTCTGCTGAATCGTTTCGGAGATATCACGATCGAGCCAACCTCTCGAAAATCGATTCCGCGCCCTCCAATCCACGTGAATTCCGCGTGAATAAATTATGCAACTAATTGCCACAGTTGCGGCCCGATTATTCCTCGGTCATGTATGAATAATGTGCAAACGTTGTACAGCTGATATACCCGCTCTTCGTTTCACGAAGAGCGTGGGAAAGGACTATCGAAGTCAGGGTGGTAATTGGTTGATTAGATAAGAGCACGAGTACGCATTGACGTTGTGTTTTGTGCTACTTGGGTTGTTTCGTGGCCGGTGAGCTTTCGCCGGTTTAGGTAGGCTAGTTTAGGCCGGGATTGGCTTTGGATTTGTGCTCGGAACTGCTGGCGGTTGGAGGGTCGGTCTAGTTAAGGGAAATTCGACTCGATGAGTTTGATTTGCTTAAATCGATACGCCGTACGTACGGTTAGTACGTTCATTCGACAGTCATTTAGTTCGCGTTTTTGTCTACTCCGCTTTGAATTAACGAGAAAGAAAGAGAAAGAAAGAGAGAGAGAGAGAGAAATTGAAGGGCGAACATGCTGAAATAAACGCAATTAGCGTGTGTTGCTGCACGTGATGCGCGCGTGTGTAATATCAGAGGCCCGGGTTTTTTCGGGCACAATTACGCTCGATCGCAAAGAAAATGAACGAGAGTTAGCGATACTGTTGTATATGTATATACGAACGGGAAAGTTGCCAACTTGTTGATGAAAAGATGATCGTAAAGAACGAGATCGCGATTGAAATTGTATATTTGTTCGAGAAACGCCTCTCTCTCTCTCTCTCTCTCTCTAACGAGTATTGAAGTTTCCAGTGTTTCACATTTAAGACGAATGGAATCGTACTTCAACTAAAGTGCGTCGAGATGAAATAAAAGTAACGTGGAAACACGTAGGGAGAAACGAGAATACCAAACGAGATAGAAGAGAAAATCAGCGATTGAATCGCGCGAACTTCTCCCACGAGGAAGCACGAGGGTTACACAGGAAATAAAACAGAGACGAAGAGGATCGCGTCTCTAAAACGGTGTGGCAAGGAACCGACGTATATTTCCACCACTGTCGTCCGGTCGGATTTTTGCCACCGCGTGGCCGCAAACAAAAAGCGTTGGCCGCATAGTTCCGAAACAATTCCGTCGTGGAATTCCACGACATCCGCGGCTAAAGGGCAGTAAATTCGCCGCGCATTTTGCACGCCACGCTACCAGTCCAGACGCGTACTCTCAGCCGAAACGCGATAATTCTTCATGGATCGACGAATTAATTGGGAAAAGAAACGGGATAATCTGTCTGTCGCAGCGAAACAAATTTATCGTATCCGTCTCAACTATCCTGTATGATGTATCATCTCTGTTCTGAACAAAGAATTAATTGCATCCAATGTATATTTTTCTCAGATGCTTCATTCCCACTGGAATTTATGCTTATCCGTCTTCCTAAACTCGTCTTCTTTATTTTCTTTATTCTCGCTGCCTTTATGGCAAGTAATGTCTGCTCGTCTTTCTAAACTCGTGCCAAAATCATCCCATATGAATTACGTCCAATATAACTTCTTCTCAAATGTTGATGGAAAATAATACCCACTCGTCTTCCTAAGCTCGTGTGAGCATCCAAAACCTCATCCAGTACTTCCAGATTTCTGACATTCGCGCGCGTAATCCAACCCTGGGGCAGAAACAGTAGTTGTTCTCGATCTCAGTCGTTCGTCGGAACCTAAACACAGGCCCAATCTGCATACATTTTCTTAGAGCGCGTTTGCGTTGGGAACGACAACGTTACCGCGGCGAGATCGCGAAGCAAAGAGAGCTTCCCATCTGCGTCTGCACTCCGACTTTACAAATTGCGATGCAGTCGGTTACAAGTCACCGGGAACGAACATAAATAGCACGTGGTCTTGCCGGTACACGCACACCGTCGTATTCCGTCGTATTGCACGAGCGCACTGAAGGGGTTGTGTCTCGTCCGTCGACAAATTTGCACCGATGTCGAGCTGAAACATCCCTGACGTATCGACGCGGCCGTGACGCGGGTCGAAGCGGACTCCTTGGTCGCGTCTCGCTTCGCTCTCGACATTTGCATGGGAACGCCCGGCTTTAATCCGCGAGTCCACCGCTGAATTACGCCAGCCGTACGATTTGCATAACGCTCGGCCTGGCATGCGCCCGATAAATGACGATTTCGCGGGAAAATTGGCCCCCAGGCTCGAATCAAATCCGCGGTTCGTTTAACCAAACGAATTTTACATCGACGAGGATCTTCCCTCGCGATCGTTTCCAGCCTCGTCGAGATACGAGAATTCTCGGAGAATCGCGTGTGGTGAAGATTTATAAATGATAGGAGCTTGAAAAAAGAAAACTAAATAGCTTCAAGTAAGATGCAAAGAAACGAGTGAATACGGAACGTAACTGAAAAGGAAACCATCCTTTTAAAATCTAATCTTAAATTTGGCTTAAATAGTTAGGATGGAATTCTTAACACAACAATCGTACAAGAACAATTTCATCAAACGTAGGATCGCCGGATAATAATACATCGCGAGGATTGTTCCGTTTCAACGAGGTCTTGTTGCCGATCGGTTATTGCGCGTAGTGTTTCACCGCTTTTGTCTACGAACTGCCACGGTCTATGGACCGGTTACGCCCGAGCAATGTACGAGAGGACTAGAACGCTGGCTCGTTCGCTCGTGACAGCAATCAGCTGCGCGATCAAGCGAGCACCGAGCGAAGATTTGTGTTCGAAAGTGTGCAATACATCTGTCTACCGCGACAAGATACACGTGTAGGTCGGTGGAAAAAGGGTGGAAAAGACCCCCGGGAACCTGCTCGAGATTCGAATCTAGGTCTACGGTAGTATCACAGTAGCGAGAGATATCTACGCTCCTTGGAGATGTGATGTTCTTTTTTTTCTTTCATCGATGCAAAGGATTTGGTTTATACTAAAACGTAGCGCAATTTTGACCAACGACAAAACGAAAATTTTCGTACGATTGTATCTCCGCGAATATGAGAAATTAGCAGAGCGCAGAAATTACAAAAATTTCACAAATAGGAATGTCATTATTCATGACAAAGTATCTCCTATCATGTAGTTCCGAACGCGCTTATTGAAACGAACGCTCCAACGGCCCCTCCCCGATACTTCTCGCCTAATCTCTCCATCTAAATCTTGCTCAACAAAAGCTAATAAAGCACCCGATAGGAAAAAAGTCGACAATTCCTCTAGACTCGTAGCTCTCGAGGAAAGATCACGGTTGCACGCGAAAGGTCAGAGCGAACGAAATCGCGCGGAAATCGAGGAGAGAAAGCGAGCCCGTGCAGCGTTGTACGCGTCGAGACGAGGAGACGAAGGTGAGAGGGTAATTTGTTAATACATATTGTTAAATTGCAACGTGGGTGAAGAAAGACGGAAGAAGCTCGAGTGAAGGGTGCGAGACTCGACACGGTGAGAGAGGTGAGAGGCAGCATATACTGGAAGGAAACAGACAGAAGGCGGGTAATCGGCTTTTGATTCCGGCTTAAGTTATGGGGCCACGTCGATCGTACGTCATTGCCACGGTGGCACGGCCAACTATCGGCTTCGTCGCGTCGGCCATTTATACCGTGAGTTCGCGTGAAAGGGTTTTGACACGTGAGTGAAAAGAAAGAGCGGAGGGAACACAGTCATTGCGGTGCGCCTGAATGATCGCAACGATTCGTCAGATGATAAGCAACGAATCACGCGCTACCTTGGTTCAAACCGAGCATCGTAACAGTTCTAACTTAGATTTAAAAAGTTGGAAAAAAAAGAGAGTTAAAGAGCGTGGGAATTGATGCTTTTCTCAATAAAATTCAACAGTCCAATTTGACCGCCAGAGGAGAGAAAGTTGTGACAAACAAAGTAATCTTTCTCTTCTCCTCTCTTAGAGAACGAGATTTAAAAACGCGGATTCGGAGATTGAAAAACAACGACAAGTTTGAGAGACGATTGTTCGGAATATAATTAGAAGGGCGGTCGCGTTTGTCTGTGGCAATTTTTCAAGATCGTCGACGAGCCACGGGACGGGACCTGGAGGGTTCCCGGAGGTTCCGAGATTGGCATCGTCCCGTGAAACTTTTTCTTCTCCTCCCCCTTTCTCGTGCGCTTCAGGCCTCCGCTTGTTGTTTCGCTTTTGTTCGCCACCGGTAATCGATTAGACGAGACACCGCGGAGTATCTCGTTGCCTCGCATTGCTAGGCAGCTCGTGACGGCCAAGATTAATTACGCCCGCGGCTTACTTTTGTTCACCCGTCTCAATTTAGACGGGGTGTCGATTATCTCGCGAACTATCATGGACACTACTACTTTGATTCGTACAGTGGCACTGCTCGGATTCGATTCGGTCCCGAAGTCGGATCAGTCTTAAAATTAAATCTCCAGGATTGCGTAGAATGTTGCTTTCGTACACTGCCTTCCTCCGTCGATGCTCTGTAAACATAAAATGAGCAAATCGTCAATCGAAAGTATCTCATTAGCGGTATCAATCTTCCGTGCTCCATCGTCATTAAAAGCCTATCAAAAAAAAAAAAAAAATATATATATATATATATATCGAAAAAAGCTCCGCGTCTCCTTTCTTCTAAGAAACTCCTCGTCACAATCCATCAAAAATCGATCGGCCGATTCATCAACGAGGCGACCGCAAGGCAAATTGAACCGCAAATACTTGATCGTTCCGCATTACGTAATAGGGCGTGGCCATGAATATTCATTTTTAATCTGGCCCCGTGTCAAAAGTAAATTTCCTTCCCTCTGGTCCTGTCGTTTCTTGAACGTTCCTCCTCGGCGCCAGTCACGATCTAATCGCTCCCCTCACCCTCACCCGGCCTCCCCTCTTTATTGAACATCGTATCATATTAACGAATCGCCGATACGTCTCGCCGACTGCACACATCGTGCAGTTGAAACTTTAAAGTTCCGTGCACGTGCATGCTAATTCGGTGTGGCCGAGACGGAGGAGCCGAGTGTCGGCCACGTTCTGCTCTTTCTCTCCGCCCGAGAATCGACCGTCCAGATAAACGGTTCTTATGGGCGGACCGGAGATCGTTTGCATCGTTCCTCGTGCGATACATTTTTTACGACGACGATCCAACGGAACGGGAACGTACGTCGATATTTTATGCACAGCTACCCCGGTTACGTGTGCGCGGTACACTCGAGACCAGATAGCGGATTTAACGTGCTACCACGGGCATTAAACGGAGGAAGTTTCAAGCGTTTATCAGGGGAAGTAGCGAGACGATGCGGGTTTCCCCACCGAGAAGGCGCTGTCTTTTGAAACATTTTTTTGGAAATCCATTACCGCTGTTTCTGCTTCAACGTGGAAGCCTGGCCACTTTCTCCAAGCCAGATAGCGGATTCAAAATATAAGCTTGCACGAGTATTGCAGCATATAAGCCTCACATTTTGCCAAGTTTACTGCTATTACTTCTGTTTCCTAGAAGCTCTCCTTTTCGATCGTACGCTTTCTTAACGCCACGGTCAAATGTAAAATTTATGCCACTAGGATACGAAAATTTCGTCCGTGTATTTTACCAAAAAAAAAAAAAAAAAAAAAGAAAAAAATTAAAACATTTTACTAGAGATAAAACGAGGTAGGAGGAAACTGGATATTTTCCAAAGTTTTCCCCTCATTAGACGCCGAAAGAGGTCCCTCCAGGAGGGAAGACGAATAATCGAAAGAAGCGAGCGATCTGATGCTGACAGATGAAAGGAGAGGACACGAAGGAAACGGAGCAGCGATCCGGTATTGTATTGTCACGACCGGTGACAGTGAAGTACCGTCCATCCTGCAACGAAGATTAGTCTTGGCTGTTGAAGAATCGGGCGTCGTTCGCCACACGAAGAGATCACGCGGCTGCCGTTGAAAGCCTGGGGTGGGCTTGATGAAAATCGAATCCACGGGACCAGGCCATTCGTAAACATCAGGAACAATGCTAAGGAAGTGGTAAAGGAAGATCTTTGACGAGCGATGAGGAAGCCGGAGGGACGAAGAAAGAGATGTTATTGCGTCATTCTTTAAACAGGACTATTTTCGTTCAAGCATCGATTTAATAGCATCGAATGTTTTCTACAAGTTGGAATTTATTGTATCGAATTTATAGTTGAATTTGAAAAATATACAAAGTGATGGTTAACTTTTTTGAAACCAACTGCTCCGAGGAATACGAACGTAAATAGAAAAAAATGATCGGTAGCCTTTCATCTAAAGAAAATGAAATTTTCCAGATAGATAGATTCCGATTTTGGTATATTTATATACCAAATTTCCCTCGATGCCTGGATCCAACCAACGAAGACATCGAGACAAGGAACACAAACTCACTGGTCCGCGGCGTATAAAGAAAGTGGAAGGCAACGTTCCTGCAGAGGTAGCATGCACGTGGTCCAAAAATTGCATTCCCTTATCGCAGTGCAACCGAATGCGCTTGGCGCGAACTTGAACGACCGACTGCTATGGGGGCAGTGTGTTGAAGGTGCCGCTATAAATACGGCAATAAATCGTCGCCATAAATCGCTGGCTTTGTTACCAGCCGGTATCGATATCGTTGTCGCCGTTGCTATCGGTTCCAGCTCGGATCTCCACGACAGAGGAACAGCGACAGACGAGCGACGCGACACGACACGGTGAGCGGAACCTGGGCCTCGAGCGAGAAATAAGGACGCAAGGTGGGTGAAAGGGAGCGTATCACACCCTTCTCCCCACCCACCCCCCCCTCTCCGCAACATGTTCTCGTCGGGACGCATGGACGCGTTTCCATAAGAGGCTGCCATCCACGGGGGTGGATGTTCGATAACGCCGTTGTTACCTCGGACGCAGACACGTCGTGCCGCGTGTATCTTCGACGACCTCGAGCAGTCGGCCAGATCGGGACCCTTGATCTTGTTAGCTGATAGGACTTGCGACCTGATCCAGACCTCTTGGTGCACTCCACCTTGAAGATCGTCTGCCGCGGCGTGGCCACCTGGTTGTCGATTGCCAGAACCGCCGCCATCTCTCTTCCATCTCTGCCGAGATCTCGCGGTTGGAAAAATATGTTTCTCTAAAGATCGACGGAGAGGAACCTTGCGATCCTTGTGATTTTCTAGATAATTCCGTTTCCAGATGCGTCTGAGATATTCCATTCCTATTTTTATGTTCGCTTCCTGTATCTTTTTATAATCGCTGAAGCATTGTCCAGCAGATACGCGATCAAACGTCCTGACAGGTGTTTCATATTCCACATTGTGGAAATGGAAACTTTCACTCAAAAAGTGGCCTATGTCTTAATTGTAGTTAATTTATGCCAAGGTGTAAATCATAAATCGTACAAGCTCTCCGCCCCTAAAGAACTGGACATACTCGTTGTAATAAATACTACGCCACCCTAACGAAAGTAGCATGCACGCCTGAAATTGAAATAAATCGCAAAAACTGATACGGTATCAAATAATTTCCCTAGGCGGGAACGCGGTAACTTATCTGAAAGCGCGTACGAGGGCGAGCAAAATTAGTGGATCTTTCACGGTGGTGAATTTAAGCACGATAACGGGCAGTTTAGCCAATCCAAAACACACCGGGACGAACCGGGACTCGTGACTAAAACATGCTTCCTCAATGAAATCCCCTTATCCCGCGCAACTCTCGATTGTATTATCATTTGCGACGGTCGGTGGCAATACGGCTTGCTAGCTATCGTATTTTTTCGTCTCGGGCAGATTTGCATGACCGCGACGACCGTAAGCAAGACCTCGAGCGATACCACGAACGGCTTAATCCCCCGAATACAAACGAGAAATTATACCGGGTCCGTACGGCGAAGCCTGCTTCTTGCAAGTGGGAGAATCGAGAGGACACACTCTCGAAAATCGCCGAAATCACCGTGTAAGAGCATTCCGAATTATTTGAGGCAATTGAAAGGGAGACTGAGAGATAAGCTGGCTCGCAAGGTATACAATTCCTTCGGTCGCATAGAAATATAATTCCAGTGTCTTTGATGCAGTGCGAATAGATTCAAGTGGGCAACATTCACCTTTCGGAACGTTGCCCGAAGATTCTTTCTCGAGAAGATCTTGCATTTTGAAAACTTTTATCAATAAGAATAAAGATTTAAGATGATTTCGACAAGATTAACACCGTGTTTTAGCTTCTCTGTTGTACGAATTTTGAACGTCTGCAATGCACATCCGCACATGTATCTTATAATCCTGTCTTATCCCGCTCCAGCAATTACAATTTTCTCCCAGCCTGGCCAATCATTCAATCTGCACGCGATTTTTCCGTTTGTGCCACGGCGGCTCGCAGCGGCATTCATCCGCTTGAAAACAACAACACGGAACAGCCGCGCAGAACGCGGAAGGAGCGCGAAACGGCTGATTGAATGGGGACTCATTCAAAGAGCGCGAGTGGCAAAGTGTATTGATCGCGAACGAAGATAAATACGCGGCGCGGCAACGAGAAACGATGAATTACTACTATCTTCTCTTCTTTATTTTTTTTCCTCTCTCCTTTCTCTTCTCGGCGACACGGCATCGTCGAAGAGAGGGGATGGGGTGGGGGTGGGGGGGGGCACGATTTATCGTTTCGTATTCAACGGATTAAGCCGTCGTTCGGGGCACCGGCTGGCGGCGCGTTTCGGTCGTCCTCGGACCGCGGAGCATGCAAATCCAGCGGCTGGTCCAGACCGGCCAAAGAATACGATAGCGCGTTGCTTGAATGCCTTGAATGATAATACGGCTTTCATTGAGGAAACGCGTGCGTTGCCAGTAGCTGCAAACGCGGCGCCGTTTGAATACCAAATTAAACGTGGTAAATACGCCGCGTGGAATAGCCACCGATTCAACGGTTTTCCCCTCAGTAGCCGTGAAAATGGGACGCCAGAGACTGTGCAACGCACCAGCGTTGTCCCGAGCTTTTGTGTTGTGTTTGGTTATCTCGGTAGCGGTGGGCCAT